TTTCGTGGGTACTGAGGAGCTGTAGGAATTGTTCACTGGCCATTATTTTCTTTATTTGTGGACCAATGAAAATACCAGCTTTAATTTTAGCCTCTGACAATTTCGGGAAAAATGATTTTAAATATTGAAAGGCCTCAGAGTCTTGACGCAGAGCCTTTACGAACTGCTTCATCAGACCTAATTTAATGTGCAATGGAGGCATTAAAATATGATCGGGCTTCACAATCGGTTCATTTTTGACATTATGTTGTCCTATTTGAAACTCGCTCCGTTGTGGCCATGAGTGCTGCTGGTAGTGAAGTGCATCGGCTCTACTGTCCCATAAACAAATGTAACACGGATATTTAGTGTACCCGCCTTGCATTCCCATCAGAAATCCAACCATTTTGAAATCTCCTATCAAAACTCCTAAAACACTATAATATTCGTTTTACATTGTGTAAAGGTACAAAAGCAAACTTTATTTATTATAAATAGAGTTTCTGCTTCTTTTTCGATGTATACAATCAGAAAATATTCACTAAATAACAGACTCAAAGAAAAATATATTTTTTGTTGACTTGTGTAATTAATGTTTAGTGTAGTTATAAAATGTAGGAGGATCTGAAAGCATTGGAGTAACTATTTATAGTCCTTGTCGGAGGAGTTTTGAAGGTTTTTACCACAGCAATTACATTATTAAGATACAGGCTTCGGTAACTGTTATGTAATTTCATTTCATCTAACGTACTGATATTGAAGATTCCACTAATCTATTCACACTGATCCTGGCAATGTATTTTTGCTTTGAAAGGTTCTTATATACCTAAGACTTGGATATTCAAGGATACTCCTGACGTGCACTTGCCTTAAAGGCACTGTGGGTCTTTAAAAGGTTGGACTTTGCGTCAAATAAAACGGAGAGATTTGTATGCTTTGCTTAATATGTATCGTCAATAAAATATACACCCTAGTCCCTCACCTGTCTTGTTCTATGAATGGGTTCGCCATTTATGGTATAATTGAAGAATATGTTATTTCGTTTCCGTAAAAGGCTTATAAATTCCCATTTTTTAAGTTATACTTCTTTAGGCGCGTTATGAAAAATTTATGAGAGTGAAATTTTACAATGCGCGCGCACCCGTGACACAAAATTAGGAGTGTGATTATAGCATGCGCGAGCGAGATAGGAATAAGACAATCTACAAGTAAAAAGAAATAGAATATGCGTGAAGTTCGTATGCCAACAATTTTGAATGACCATAATGACATTTGTCATTTACCTTTTAAACAAATAAAGGAGTTTTAATTATTTTTTCAAAGAAATTTAGCGATGCTTTTTGAATTATAATCAGAAGTGATTTAAATTGAATACTTAAACCAATACTAATTAATATTTGTGAAAAAACTGTGCTCATCAACCTTCCTAAGTGCTTCAATACAATTGAGGTTAACTATCCGTATGTATTATTATTATTATCGAGTAATGTTTTGATTAAAAAATTAACCACATTGTTTAATCAAAACATGTAATTTTTCTGATTTTATCTAGCAAATATAAGGAAAAGAGACAAAAAACAATTGATGAATCAGTGTAACTGCACTAAATTGAATACAAAAAAAGAGTTTTCATCTTATCGCTGTGAAACATCAAAAACTAGAGGTGGAACAAAGCCAAACTATTTTTAATATTGCCAAAGAAGTATATAACTTCTTACGCGCGTACATAAGTACACGGACCCTTTTTTTTTTAATATTTTGAGATTGTATTTTATAATTTTTTATTTTCCCCTAATAATTTGTAATTTTCCCCTAATGGTTTGAGATGAGTCTAGTAAATAACAGTCCGCGCCTATTGACTATTTTATGGAATATTTTCTAGTTATCCGCATATAGGAGGCTTCGCTAACGCTACTTGCGGACTTGCGGTAAATAAAGGATTTTCTTATACATATAATAATACATCCATCTGAGTGAATATCCTTAAATGACTAACTGCTCTTAACTTACAAGGATTTTATCATCCACCCTGTCGAATGCCTTATTAAAATCGGTATATGACATCAATCTGTGCACAATCCTTGATATTAGGCAATAGATAGGGAGTTAATTCTGAAGTATTTACTGAGCGAGATTTAAAAAACCCGTGTTGATGATGAAAGCATTTTAAACATGAGTTGTATATTATAGTCAATAAGGACGCTTTCCAAGATTTTCCCAAAAATGTTTAGAATAGACATTTCATTTTTTGCTGCTTCATCTATGAATAGGTATCAGCTCTTCACTTTTTTTGGGAACTTTACTTCCTTGTGCCCGTTACAGGCGACAACCGACAATCGCAAACCCAGCTTGATTTTACTCTGTCAGTGCCTAAATATTATTACTAATGGTGCGTTCCACTAAGCGCTCACGACGATCAAAATTCTCCTTTAGCCATTCCACATACCGACCGCGGTCGTTGTGGTCACGGCGAAAACGTCACTCATGACGTCATGGCTAATGCTCACGCAAGGCTCACAACGACCCTTCTAAAGAGGTGGGTCAAAGTGAACGTTGAGAATAATTCGGCGCAATTTTTGAAATTGTTTTTGAAATATGATATTCAAAGCTTAAATATGGTGACAAGAAAAATAACATTATATGATTCTGAAAGAGAAATTGTAGTAGAAGCTATCGTTTCTGAAGCTGAAGCTGCTCGTGCAGAAAGAGGTAAATATAATTATGCAATATAAGTTTAATACAATTGATTTTAGTTTATATTCAACAGCTATTTATGCATTTTTCCTGAATAATGGATAGCATATCCTAACTCAATAAGTAAACGATATTTATTATCATTAATAATATATATGTATATTTTTGGTAAATTTATTTTATTTGTAGATATATTTTTTGCAACTGAGCTGTTAAGAAAAATTCTACTATTTTCAAACTTGCCATTTGTGACATTTACATGAACGCCCGAAACGCTCCATAATCCATTCCACTTGAGTTAGCGACAGTTACATTACACGCTCGATATTTATCGTGATATTTATTGAGATGTTTATCTAGTATTTTTTTTTTATACTACACATTCAATACGAATCGCGTCAGTACGACGGTAAATTTCATTGAGTATACTCGTACGTTTCGTGTTACAATAATGAGTAACAATATTAAGAAAGCTTGCGTTGCCATTTTTATTATTATTATTATTATCAGCATATGCTGATATACACCAATATCCAAGATTATAACGATTGTAAACATTTTCCGCTGCAGCACCAGATCGCTTCAAATCTGTTATTTTTTAAATTATTTTCTGTAGTTTGCCTAGTATGCATTTGAGCTGTCCCATACTTCAGGTAATGTTTCTAATACAAGTATGAATTCTTTATATGAATTCTCTATATTATTCCGCCTCTATATATGCGCCTCCTCTTCCATCGCTGGCAGAATTAATAGTGACGCGATAAATATCGACCATACACTAGACGCTCGATATTTATCGACGATAATTGATACAGATCGTGGATTTTTAGATTTCTAGAAATCCAGCGATCCGTATCACGATACGTGATACGCCTGTACTACACATCGTAATTTTGGATTACGATCCAAATATCACGATAAATATCGAGCGCGTAGCATTCGCCAATGGGGAAATCAGCGGTCGCCGTCAGAAGAGAGCGGTCAGAGCCATTCATAATCTACGTCGTTGCGAATCTCTCAGGGAACTATTTAAAAAGATTAATATTATGACAGTACCTTGCCAATTCATTTATGAAAATATTATGTATGTAAGAAAGAATCTACATCTTTTTAGTAAAATAAATGAAAGACATAATTTTAGTACTAGAAATAAAGATAAAATAGCTCAACCATCTTTCAGATTAGCCAAAGTTCAAAATTCATTTATGGGGTACTGTGTGAAATGTTACAATAAAATACCTTGTGACATTTTAAAACTAAATGAACGAAAATTTAAATGTTTTATTAAAAGTACACTTTGTAAACAAGCATATTACAAATTAGATGATTATATTCAAGATAAGAATGCTTGGAAACATGCTGGTCCTGCTCCATAGGACAATCCTATGATTGGCTCTATAGCCTGGACAAAATCAAATTGGTTGCTGATTTTTTGCTAAAAAAAAATATGTTAATTTTTGTTATTATTTTTTTTTTTTTAAATTTATATAATGCTACAAATGTAATTATTTTTTTTTGTATCTCACACACTGTTTTGTTGTGTTTTTTTAATATTTTTATTACTCTTTAATGTTAATATTCTAAGGTTTCGATATTTGTAAATATGTGAGGAACATGTATACTAACTTTTTTAGTATAGTAGTTTATTCTAAGAGTACATTGTCTTCACATATAATTATTTAACAAATGTAACAAAATATTGTAAACCTATTTTAAAAGAGTAAGTGTGGAGTTTCTTGCCCATTCTTCTCCACACGAAACTACCTTTTGGAAGGGGCAACTAGAATCATCTTTATATTTTTTTTTTGACGTTCAAAAGTGCCATTTTAGATGGTCTAATTGAAATAAACGATTTGACTTTGACTTTGAGCGTGAGCGTGAGCGTTGTGAACGCTTAGTGGAACGCACCATAAGTACTAACTAATCCGTGTTCGACAGCTTTGACTGGCTATGAAGACTGTAAACATTTGACAATTGACTTTTTTTGAGTTAAAATGTACAATGCTACGGTCAAAAACCAAAGACAATATAATATATTAATTAATAATTATTAGAAATTAGATACAGATTGCCAATAATGCCATGGTCCAGCCTCCAGGCTCTAAGAGTTTTTTAGCGGAAAATAGTTTGAACTTTGAAATAGTACATGTTGTTGTTAGTTGTTATCACAATCACTAACTTGTAAATACATTGAATGACTGCGTTGATGTTTTAACATGATTAGATGTTAACAAGAATTTTATAGAAATTCGTGTGTGCTGTTTCTTGTTTCGTAATTGCTTTATTTCCTCATTCATTTACTAAACCATTCTGAACTAGTTTTCAAAATGGTTACTTCTTATTATATTATGAAACTTAGTAAAACACATAAAAACCTAGACTTGTCTGAACACATAGTGCTTAAAAACAAAAGTGCATCTAAAATTAAACACTCTTCCTGTAGAGTGTGCCTTGACGAAGGTTGTGTTTCACTTCTAGATATAAATTGTAATACTTTAGACACATTTCAACAACTTTGCAATATTCAAATCAACAAAAGCGATGATTTACCTAAGAAATTATGTAATATTTGTTACAAATTCTTAAAAAATACTATGTTATTTATAAATAAAGCAAAAGAGACAGAAGAATTTCTAAAAAAATCCCTTGATAAAAAGACTAAAAGTGAAGAAGAAATTCATAAGAACAATAGTGATTTATCTGAACCTGAAGACTATAGTTTATCAAACGATACTGAATCTACTGTAAAAATGGAGTTGGAATTTGGAAAAGATAGTATTATTAAAAAGGAAAAGATTTCTTCAAGTATGTGTGATAAAAAATTAAAAACAAAGCCAACTGTAGCTAAACGAGTTCAATGTAAAATATGTAAGTCAGTTGTCATGAGGTCATACTTTAAACAGCACATGACCATGCATGATCCAAATCATTCAAAATATGTTTGTGAAATTTGTGGTAAGTCCTACAGGTTGATTTGTGCGTTTTATAATCATCGTTTTCAACATAGCACTGATTTCTTACATAAGTGTCAATTGTGCCCCTATAAAGCACGAGACAAAGCACTATTAAGAAACCATATGAAAGTTCACATTGCTGACTATAAATATATGTGTACTAAATGCCCATCAAGATTTCTCTTTAGAAGTAATCTTAACCGACACAATATGTGGAAACATAAACAGAAACAGTTTAGCTGTGACACATGTAAAAGAATGTTTCATACTAAATTAGCAGTTCAGCAACATCATGAAGTTGATCATTTGGGTATGAAGAATCATTCGTGTAATTTATGCGGAAAAGCATTTGGATATAGGAAAGCAATGATGAAACATCAAAGAACAGTGCACAAGAGGGAGAAAAGAGTATATTCAAGAATGCCTACATATTTACAATATGAAAATAAAAATTAACATTTTACATCAAACTACTTAATACTATTGACCGAATATACAGTTTTATCTGAGATAGAATTAAGCCTAGTTAAAAATTGGTTCATAGCTTAATTAGATTATTTAATCATTAATACAGTTTATATCATAAGCATGTTAGTAATAATGAAACAGTATTTTTAGGTATTAATTTATTTGAAACAGGTGACTAGACAATAAGCTATATAAATAGAACACACAATAATAACATACAAAAAAAACAACATTATAGTATTTGATTGTAACCCATTAAAATATCTTATAATAAGTTTGTCTATAACATATATGTAGTTGTTAATATATCCTTAACAATTTATAATAAATAACTACAACACTCAATAAATATTGATTACAAATCTTTGGTATCTAGTTTTAAATATACAATTTTCATTTTATAATGGAAGGTAACATGAGTGTATATAAAGGCCACAAGGTTTATCACTTCAGTACAAATTATTTCTTGTAAAAATATGTTTTTATTAAATCAGCTACTTTAATCTATTTGACTAGAGAGTTGCATTATGATAGATCAATATCAACAGCATATTTCCATTAAGTAAACATCACACTTTTAGTTATAAGGGCACAATCTCATCTCAATAATTTAAGTACACTTAGGGAAATGGGTCCTATATGGAAGACACTTTAAAATACTGTATAACCTATTTTGTATCAAACAGTTGTGCAAGTTAAAAGTGCTTCAGTTTGAAAAGACCACAAGAGCTATAGAGAACAGAAATGCATGTGTACTAATACAAAAAAATTAACTTAAATACTAAGATAAATAGACATTGATGTTTGTTTAATAGATTAAAAATTATGAGATTAAAGTTATTATTGTTAATTATTTTTCATATAGTGCTTAACTTTACATATTCACATGATTTTTAATATGCAGTTACTTATTAAATATAACATCTACCTGACCAGTAGAAAAATCTAAAATAAATATAGCATGTATGATCTGTAATGTAATTGTTTCATTGATCAAGTTATTCAATAATTAATATGTAAATGGTAAGAAAAATTGGTTTAGTCATATGAAGGCCCTCTACACATAGTAACTATAAACATGGACGCAAAGATAAATTCCAAGGATTGTAATGAGAGCATTAAAGTACACCAAATATATTCAATTCTCAGAACAACCACTTGCCATATGAGAAGGTAGAGTACTCCAATGATTGATGGTACTGTTAAAAGCACAGAAAACATTACAGGAACATCTGTAACAAATTATGTACAATAATCTAATACCTTACAATCGATTTCTTTGATAACAAAATAAGCCTGAGAAAAAAAACTTCCTTTTACCTTTTTCACTGAGACTGCCCTTCCTCCCGAGAATAAGTCTCGCAGCCTCTATAATAAAAAGCGCTACAAGTACACCAAAATCTTGTCCAAGTCGAAAGCTTCGGTTGTTATCGCTATCATTATACTTCCCACCAATTAATACAGACTTCAAAATAAGCGTACCTAGTTCACAGGTAGCGAATAGTCCAAAATAAAACGAATTGATATACAGAAGTATTTCGTATGCTAAACTAGAATTAACCATATTGCACGACTCCCCGTTTTTTTTTTTCAACCTAAGTTGTAAATACGCGAAATTAGCGTGAATTATTGGTATTAAACTAATCTACTAGTAAAAATATTTTTTATCAAAATTCATGCAGCAGATCAAATTTCCTTTCATGAAAGTACAGGAAATAACAGAAGACAGGAAATGACATTAAAAAATATTGACTGACAAGAACTACAGACATACACTGACAGCCCACAGATTTAAGACGGATGCCAATAGGAGCTTGATTGATATTTATTCAGATTTGGTATTTTACTTTCTTAAGTTTACAAAAACTTAAAATTTCTTAATTTTCATACTTTGAAGAGATTTGAGAAAATTCGCGTAAAATTTACATATTTAGCAGCATGATTTACTATATATTAGTTGCTCAATTAAAGAAAAAAATAGCAGAAAGCCATCACGTTACACACTGTGCGTTACTAAACTGAAATACTGGAGCATAAACTAAATTTGTATGGAAATGACAGTTCGTGTCGAAAAGTTTTCATACAAATTTAGTTTTTGACGTTCTACATACACTACTGTTAAGGCATCTTGACTAAGGCCCCAGTTCAGTATTATAATATACCAATTACCAAACAAAACATTTATAAATAATCGTCACTCTTTACTCTTTAGTCTTTACCTTTAGTCTGTAGTCTGTGGTGTCAACTGGTTGTGGCTGACTTGTGTGGCGCGTGCACGTGTTGCAATAGCAAAATAGAAAAATAAGGAACAAATGAACAGTATTTTTTTATGTTTTAAATATTTATCTCATTTTCAAGAACTAGTGTAGAATGCTGGCTATGTTATGAATTGGTAAGTCTTATGTCAACTTTTTTGAATTTGGAAATAATATATCCATGTGCGACCACGCGCTTTATACACTTGAGTAAAATGTATTCAACTAACACAAGTAACTGTTGCAAATCTTTCTTAAACTGACTTGGTTTTGTTTTTATTGATATTAAATTGTAGTTTTCGGTAAATTTATTTGATTGACCCTTAAATTTATTCAAATGGGTGATAGGATTACGACTTTATTACATACCAGACTCTTTTCGCTGTTATGACTTTTCGGCACAAATTCAAAAACTTAAATATCCTTAATACTCCTCAACTTCCTATAGACTGCAATATTTTCTACATAAAGATTATTGAGTTTTTATTAAATTCATGTTTGTAAGTTTTAACTGTATGATGTCAAATTTATTCAATTCTGATCTAATAAAGAAAAAAATTGCTTCCTGCATATTGCTGCAAATCTTCCTTTTTAATGAGCCTGTAAAAAATGATGTTACATTTATTTCAATAAGAAGTTCTGCAAGCATGAGAGGCCATATCGCCCAACATCAGATGAAAATCCTGCTCATTAGCTATATAAAAAAAAATATCACTGTATTGTATGTATTATAAATAATCATTTGACATTGTGCCAAGTGTTAGTTTCAATGATCTTAATTGATTTTCAATTTAATCACTTAAACCTGTAATAATAGGTGACAATATAGCCCCTGATATTAATCGCAATCAGTGCAATGTGTAGAGGTCAAACAACAATAAAGATAATTCAATAATACTTGTTCTATTTGATGAACACAATCAGTGACTACAAGCACTTTCATTAATATATTACCGTCTTGAGCAATGCTATTAGAAAATATAGATTTTATAAAAGCCTATTGCATAACAAGGCCTGCTTAATAGGCTCTTATACATACTTATTTACTTTGTCTTTCAAAAATTAATTTTCATAGAATATTGGATGTATGTTACTCTTTGACATACATCTTTAATATCAGAAACAATAAATATAAGAAACTAAATTGTATTTTATTGTAACAGTTATATAGCACATCTTGATTTAAACTCAATAAAATATAGATTAGATACAGCCATACAATTTAATGATATAATTTAGATCTATTTATCAAATGAAAGTTTTGTAATAAAAATATTGGTATAAATTACTGTTGCTACAGTGTTTATGAATTTTGTCAGATAACAATAAATGTTGCTATACCTACTGTTATTCCAATGTTGATAAAAGAATTAATTATGATTATTAAGGAGTTCGCCATGCTACACATAATATGTAAGGTTGGGTGTGTTGTTACCTATTTTCCTATACTGTGCCTTGATTATATTACAATACAATTATTTTGAGGTCTGAGACATTCTGGTTTTATCGCTGTCTTCACTGTATGCACTCTGCACATAGAAAAGTCCATTCAAATCATTTATATTATTTATGTTTTAGATCTACCACACCCACAGATGACCATATCAGTTTTATGATATCGGATCTATAAGGCATGGAGATGTCGCACCAGGGGGGAGCTGAGGCCGAGAGCCTCTTGCGCCCTGACCGCAACGCTACCGTTATGCCGCAGAAACGTAAGTCATTATTAAGTTATTCCTTACGTTTAATCCTTATACCAAAATTGACTAAGCAGGTTTTCTGAAATTAACAAACAACCATTATTTGGTATTTATGATAGTAAAATAACAGATGTGCTACAAGAGTAGAGAAGACTCTATGATACGTATGTTCGAAAATATTAAACTTAGCATGTCTTGATATTAAATAGAATAACTTGTTCGATTCAGGAATAAAATAATTAAAACAAACAACAAATATACAACCAGGACATTCATTAATAATTAAGATAAAAAGTAAAAATTTGAATACTTTCTCAGTTTGTCATTGCTAAGCGGTTTCATATAAGGCTGTGACTTTTGATGGCCCGGTCCGTTCAAATCGAAACTAACATTGTTTTCCACCACTGGTAGGCCCGGCCCAATCGTTGGGTCAATCGTCTCATATGGCGTTGGAACTTAACTGTTGGCAAAACCGCCTCATCAGTTAAACTGTAGAATGTTTAGAGCGATACTAAAGTCATCGAAATGGCATTTCATCGGTAAAAAAGGTACCTACCTCCTACCAAAAATACTTATTAATTATGAAGCTTGAAAGATCCTAATGCTAATACTTTTTGTCTCAGTACAGTAAATAATATTTGCATTTATATTTTGCAATGTCACGTATCTTTACTTGACTACTAAAACGATCATGACATACGCAGATGATTGCATCACCTATTCTTATCTGACGTTATATGTTGGCCATGACTTCTCTTAATACCAATTTATACGCCTTAGAAACGTTTTAGGGCGCCATAATTGATTGATTCACTTTAAATGCCGATACTTGGTCTGAAGAACTCTAGGAGTAATAGCGACACATATTTTGGATTGAGAAATCTCCTAAGATCGCAGCACTTTATATACATAGTCAAGTAATGGTCTAAATTTCGAGTAATATCAATAAATATGTTAGTTGTATAGAATTCTGTTCTTTCTCACCCAAAACAAGTGGTTACGAGTCAAATCCAGCTACGGCTATAAGCCCTAT